GAATTTGTGTAAATATTTATTTTATATCTGCAAAGTTTCAAATCTCAGTTATAGAATTTATAAAGATGAATTCATAATATTATATAAGAAGTTATAAAATGTCAGTTAGAAATCTACCAGCAGTCTTGTCATTTTCTGTCTTAATTTATGTTTTTGTGAATTGAGTAAAAGTTAGGTAGTATTTGTTACTGGTAAGTGTATTAATGTTGTTCATTTAAATTCAGTATTTTTATGAAGATCTCATTTACCATAGTATTGTGTATCCACTATATGTATTCCTTGCTAGATATCACATCCATACTGACAGCTGCAATATATTATTTACTCATATTCACACTACTGTTCAAAAGTTTTGGGTCGGAAAGCCTTAACGTGCCTTTTGAAAGTAGTCAACAAAGATAGAATAATTTGATTAAAAAAAAGAGGTAATACTGTGATATATTATTACAATTTAAAATAACTGTTTTCTATTTGAATATTTTTTTTAATGTAATTTCTTCCTGTTTTGCAAAGCTGAATTTTCAGCATCATCACTCCAGTCTTCAGTGTCACGCATTTTAATATGCTGATTTACTGCTCAAGAAACATTTCTTATTATTATGATGGAAATTTTTGTGCTGTCTGATGTGTTCGTGGAAACGGTGATATATTTTTAATGAATAGAAAGTTTTAATATATTTAATATATCATATGTAATATATGAATTTAATAAATTCATTTTAATTAGAAATCTTTTGTACCATTATAAATGCCTTTACTGGCCCTTTTAATGAATTTGAATCTTTGCTGAATAAATGTATTGTTTATTTTGAATGTATTCATATTTTTAATGATTAATAAAACATTATTATAAATTATTTATTATTATTTGACTTATTTTATGTACAGGATAGTCAAGACAGGATAATGACACTTGAACCATGAGCCAGCAGCTCTTGTATGTCTTCTGCCACTGCTAATTTACCAGAAATGATCCATTGTCAAGGCTGTTGGTAGACTTTATAGCAGACGTTAAGGTTTCAGAGTGGTCATATTTAGCAGCCACTGCTGATAATAACTGGCCTGTTTTGGTCTACCAGTATAGTATTAGGCCCTTCACATGTGAGCAGAATTGTTTTCATGGAGTTCCTCCAGATCTTTCTGCTCTCGTTTGTCAGGATCAACAGCACCTACGGTGTGAGGTTCAGGGCCAAAGTGTTTGCGCTCCAGCGGATGTCTGACTTTCCGCGGGACACTATCAAATTCACAGCTTTGAAATCTCTGTCTGGCGTTGCAGCAGAGACCGTGGGACGTATTGTTCCCGTCTCGACCCATTTAATCCACCCCCCTGGTGTGTTTTTTTTTCACTGTGCTCTTGTTGCGGGTCTTCTGAGAGACTGATCACAGCTCTGACTGATGCACACCAGGCAGAAGTTAATGCGGCTGCCGGAGACGTTATGATTCCCGGGAGAATTCCCGCCGCTCCTGCAGCCGTGTGTCTGATCCAGTGCCGGCCGCGCTCGAGGGGGTGGGAGATGACATCGGGACGGGGGCGGAAGAGACCGGAGGGGCTCGTCTTACCGTGAAACTTTCTCTCTCGCTTTAACGTACGCCTACGCACAACGCGCGCTGCAGACACGGCAGGTCCGCTTCCATCTCGGACACACGTGACTTGCTCCTATGGGGTCTTGCAAGGGCCAGATGGGGGTGATGCGGATCCTGAGGCGTTTAATTGAGAGGCCACAGTCTTAATTAAGTATCAGCGTGAATGTTGATGAGTGGCGTCGGATTGTTCCATCCGCAACTCACTCAATAACTCAACCGCAGTTCAGAGGAAGCAAGCGAAATAATGAGCAACTTGAGGCTTTCGGAGCGGAACCCGGGACGGTCCGCCAACAGACATTAAAAACACGTTATTGTGCGAACGTACGTTGAGTGTGTGTGCGATTTAAAGATACGTGCTCCAAAAGCCTGTCAGTGCGTTCATTTCTCCGTCTGATTCATGCGTCGTATGTCATTCGCAACTTTGGAGACTCGAGCGCTCGTCGTCGCGCATTTGGTTTGCAACATCTTCAGCCCACGGCGGTTTTGCGGTCAACTGGCCAGATGTCCTGAGGAGCTTGTTTTTAATCCGAATCCACACCGTGAGCTCCTCTGTTCTGGCCACTCACACCGCATTTGGTTTGCAACATCTTCAGCCCACGGCGGTTTTGCGGTCGACTGGCCAGATGTCCTGAGGAGCTTGTTTTTAATCCGAATCCACACCGTGAGCTCCTCTGTTCTGGCCACTCACATGTCATCTGGTCAAATCATCTGTCAAAAGCTGATTTCTCGGCCCCCACATCCTTCTTTTATTACCGGACTCTTGCAGTGGAAACGAGTGTGTTCGGATCCTTGACTGTCTGTTAACTGTGAAACTCTATCCCAGGCAGCGCATCCACAAATTAGGCCTGGGTGATATTTAGCTAAATAATGTTCTAAATTGATCATTTTCAGCCTTTATTTCTTTCTCTAGCTGATGTTCTTAAATGGCCTAAAAGGGTGACTTTATTTGTGGTTTAGTTGTTGCAATAAAATCGTAAGGCATGTTTCTCACACTGTTTAAATTAACTCATTAATTACTTTAATTAACAATAGTGTTTTATAATTTAATTTATAAGCACACATATCAGTACAAATATACATTTAGGTTAAGCATTGTAATACACCATCGTCAGATTTTGAAAAATGTTTTTGATGCTCACCAAGGCTGCATTTATTTGATCAAAAATACAGTAAAAAAACTGTAATATTGTGAAATACTGTTACAATTTAAATTAACTGTTTTCTTTTTGAATATATTTTACATTTCCAGCATCATTACTCCAGATTTCGGTGTCATTTTAATATGCCGATTTGATGAAGAAATCAAGAAACGTTTATTATTATTGTTGAAAACATTTGTGATACTTTTTTCAGGGTTCTTTGATGAATAGAAAGTTTAAAAGAACAGCATTTATTTGAAATGACTTTTGATCAATTTAATCCACACTTTCTGAATAAAAGTATCAATTTCATCCAAAAAAAAACTTTTAATTGATAGTGTTTCATATGCAATATAACAAAGTGATAAACAGCAATATATATTCTTACTAAAACATCCAGATATATTTAAAAAAATTACTGAATTAATTATTGAATTTGAGTTCATGGATTAACAGACAGTTTGAATTTATTCATTTTTGTTTGTTAGAATCAGAGACACTTGAAACATCTGTTTTAATGTTTTTATACTCGCAAATTGCAATGCAAGGGAGAAAATTAACTGCTATGATGACACTGAAACGTGATGAAAGTCCTCGTGATACTCACAATTTTGTAATGGCAGCAAATGCATTTTGAATACATTTGATACAGCTGCTCAACCTAACAGGTCACGTTCTGATTTGGCCTGCGGTTTAATGACTCAGAACAACCGGTGTCATACCCCCAACCCTTCCTTTCCAAAACTCTGTTTCAGCTTGTTTTTAGATCTTCAGCGCTAGCGGAAAAATTGGCCATCCCTCGGGCTGCACGAGGCATTCAGGAACACGGGGCTCGAGCGTCTTGATGTGGATTTAACTGGGCTTCAAGGAGGAAGTGTTTCACTTAGCTCTGCAGTCCAAGAGATAGCGGGACGTTAAGGAGCCGTAAATCAGCACAGGTTGCTCACCTGCCCCATCTCAGGCTCGTGGGAGATGCGGCGGCTCAAAGCTGCTCTTCCTCTCGACCCTGTTAGGAGGCTTTCAGTCCGTTTGGCCTTCTCGTGACTGATGGGCTGTGGTAAATAACAGGCGGTACTGAGAGCTTTCATCCACGCTGTCCCGGCATCTCGGGCAGGATGTGAGGTTCTGGTGACTGCTTTTCAATGGCACATGTGTAAATCACGCAGAGAGAAGTTTGTGCGCAAAATGAAATAAACCACATATCTGAAACATGTACACTGTCATGCTGCCATAAAAAGACGGTGTCTGGAAAATGCTGTACTGAAGTATGTTTTTCTACAACAGCATTAAATAACTGGCTGCTTTTATACCTGTACTGAAAAAGTGAAAACCTGTCCGGTCCATATATCAGTTAATTTTGCAGAAATTTTTAAGCAAAATTTGCATAGTTTCAATAATTTTAATGACAATTAAGCACAATGCACCTTACACACCAGTGTTTTTTCTAAAAAAATATTTTGATTTGGTTTTTAATTTTTATAATTTAATTAGTTGTTTTTGTATTATGTTAAACTACATGAAAATGAGAAATGTTGCTTTGGCATATATGGCAACATTTTTCCGATTTTTTTCAGTTAACATTTATTTTATTTCACATAATAAAATGTTTTTTTGTGGTTTTAGTTAAAGTAAACCTGGTACATACCAGATGCATACCGTTATTATGCTAATAAGTAGTGCTTGTTAAATTACAAAATGACTTGGACTAATTACATTAGTTGCATACAGTTGTGCTACTGTATATATCCTACTGTATGTCTACTATACTACTATATATCCTACTGTTACTAGTTTCAGAACAATGTAAATAAAGCAACTTGAACAATTTAAATAAAGTAACTTGTACTGATTATGTTGTACTGCAACTTTTTGTTGTTCTTAACAATTCCAAATTTTAATTCTATTTTTTTCTTGATTCTTGTTCTGCAAAAAGAAAATGCAACAAATACAACAATTTAATGTATAAATACATTGAATAAAAAATAAGATTCATGATTTTTATCTTTGAAATTGAAGAAATGGTCTTTCTCACATTACAAATGTGAATTTAATAGGTAAGGAAAAAGTAAGAATGTAAGAAATGTAAAATTAAGAAAAAAAACTTGATTGGGAATGGACGAAATATGGGATACACTCAAAAGAAAAAATACTTTTTTCTTAAATGCTCAGTTTTTATAGTCTATTTTATTCTGTTTATAGAAAATATTTGTCTGTGTTTGAATGCATAATCTAAGGTTTCGGAAACGGCTAATGTTGATGTTTAATTTTTTTGTACAGACTGATGGCCAAAATTCAAAGGAAAAGAAGAAAAAGAAGAAAGCTGCTGGAAAGGAGGGAGGAGAGGAATGTATTGCATCCGTCAGAGACAGCGGCCTCCAGATTTCCTCTCAGGTGGACGAGTATGAGCACGACACATCCGATGAGGAGGTAAGAATCTGTCCATCATCCAGACCAATGTCCAGCCCGCAGACCAGGACAAGCTCGTCCCATGTCAGAACAATCAACATCTCATAAATCTGTCAGATTTAGTTTGAAGTCTATTTTTCCACAGCTGTCCATGGCTGGGAGAGATTTTAAAAACACTGTCCTTTAAAATGTACCAAGGTAACTGTCGTTTTCACCAAAATACCATAGCTACAATGGTAAAATTGTAGTAATGTGATATTGGCAGCCACTAGCATAACACAATGTTTCTGAAAATTTTTGAAGGAGATTCCATATTTACTTATGGAAGTGCAGTAGTGATTAAACCATTTTTGTAGGAACAAAGTGTGAGACTGTATTAAAACCGTATTTCTTTTGACATAGAAATAAGCTGTTTTTGGATTTTTAAATTTTTTTAAATTAGAAATATTTGAGTTTACTTTAAGCAAACGATGCTCTTTGGATTGCCTCAAATCATACTGAAGAACGTGATCATCAGGTTTTGTTGATGTCAGCTCCAGTGGTGCTGTAATTAAATGTTTTAATCCAGCTCTTCACTCAAATTTTCATGCAACTTCTAACATCACAATCATTTTGTAATCAAAATGTTGTTTTCAATTTGAAAAGAATAGTTCACCTGTGTTCTCAGACTGTTGGATGTTCGATGTATTTCTTCTTTTCAGGTCACTGAAAATCCATGGAAATGTTTTTTGTGCTCAACTCTTATTTCCATTAAATTCCAGTTTCCAGTTCTGAATATCACCATTGTGTCCAGGTGTTGGTGCACCTGCATCTGTTGCGATGTGTCCTTTGCATGCTGTCCTCCTATCATTTGTTTCCAGATGGCCATTTGACTTTCAACTCTTTTGACTTTTGTTTGGATGCATAACAAATGTATAATTTGACTACTTGAGGGAATTTTGGACTCTTTATGCACAAACTGAGTGAAATACCAGCTTAATTTCACAAAAAACTAGATGGCAGAAATGCATAGTTTCACCATTCGTGGAGTTTCTTAGTGAGTTAGTGACTTTTATTCAGGTTTCTTAGATTAGGTAATGACAGCTGAGGTCAAAGTCACTCTTTAGCGTAACAATAGAGGAATAGTTCACCCAAAAATGAAAAATTGTTGAAAATTTACTCTCAGGCCATCCAAGATGTAGATCATCGGTGGATCATTTGCAGTGAATGGGTGCCGTCAGAATGTGAGTCCAAACAGCTGATAAAAACATCACAATAATCCACATTTAGAACAGGTTTGGACCGTTTTCTCTTAAAAACGGTGATTGATCTGTGCATATTTCTGTCCTGATTCAGACCAGAATGACTTTTTTACTGGGGAAAGCAATATTATGAATGGAGGACTTGTATTTTAGCCGGAAGCAACTGCTCAAATTTTGAAAAACATATTAATTGTGGATTTGTTTCTTACAAACATGTTAATTGATGGACTAGAGTCATGTGGATTACTTGTGAATTATTGTGAGGTTTATATCAGCTGTTTAGACTCATTCTGACGGCACCCATTCACTGCAGAGGATCCACTGGTGAGCAAGTGATGTAATTTCTACAAATCTGTTAAAGAAACTAACTCATCTACCTCTTGGATGGCCTGAGGGCAAGTACATTTTCAACAGAATTTCATGTTTGGGTAAAGTGTTCCTTTAAAGGAGTAATAATGTAAATCTATTGCTTGATGTTTCTTGAATGACATGACACTTAACTTCTGAATGACAAGTAGACTAAAGATGATTTAATTAAATCTAAATATAGCAGTGGTTTTTTCTGCTGCGTTTGCACAGGCATGATTACTTCATTGTTCCGTAGAGGGGGAATATGGTTAGTTGTGCAATGTTTCATATAAAGGAAAAAGATTTTTGTCCTGTTCCTCAGGCTGGAAGTGTCTGAACCGCAGTATTTGATACCATTCTCTTCAGCCTGTCAGACGTTACCACATTTCTGTAATGTCTCTTGACTTTTTCGAGGGGAGATCATGATGCACCTCTGCAGTATAAGGAGCTCTGTAACGTCTCATATTTACATGTAGGACCATTAAAGAATTCCTCTTCAGCTCTTTAATTTACATGCTCCATTGAAAACCGTTGAACCCTGGCACAATGCGGTCTGGATAATTTGCCAGGCCATACAACCTAAACACTGCAGTCATCCAAAACTGTTCTTGGCAATCTGCTCCCGACCAGGAATGTTTTGCAGAAGTGTTATTGTTCTTGGGTAGATCCCCGATTTCAGAGTGGCTTTTTAATGCCCCTTCGTAGTCATTCAGAACAGATCAGGAACGCTGACTACCATCGTTATTTAGTTTGTAAAAGTTAACATATTTTGCATTTCTGTGTCTTTGGAGGCTTTGCTCTACTTCTTTTCATTTAACGACAACATGAAATCAAAGTTGGGCTTGTTTACTTTCTGCGTAAATGTCATTTGTGTTATTGTGGACCATTTATCAATGTTATCGTAAAAGAGAAAAAAAGGGGGGCTTGCTCGTAGGATTTGGTTTCAGCAATGATTTGTCTATTGCACTCAATATTTTTTTGCCAAAGTTCTGCTTTTTTATGATTTTTAATTGCTGTGCTGTAGATATAGTTTTTACTGTCTGCTTTGTTTTAGTTATAGTTTTCATATTTTCATGAAAGTGTCCTTTATATTTAGTCAATATTTTTGACATGCAATATAGATTCGTTTTAGTCCAATGTTATTTTTTACTTATTTTATTCAGTGAAAATAAGTTTAGTTCACAATAATGTGCAAAATGATGAAAAAATAAATTTTAACCAAATATTTGACAATTATGAAAACATTTATGAAGTAGTTAAATTGATATTTTAAAAGAACATATAAAGGTTTCATGTGTCCAACTACAAATTTAATGTATAATGAAAATGTTGCTGATAGGAGTCCATTTCAGCAGTGATTTGTCTTGACATTTATTATTAAAGTCAATGAATTTGTTACAAAAGCACCACTTTTTTGCGTGAATTTAGAGGTGCAATTTCTTTGAGGATTTTTAATTATGGTTTTATAGTCAAAGTCATAGTTTTCATTATTTTATGTAAATGTCCTTTAAATTTAGTCAGTATTTTGTTACGTCAAGTATTAACTTTAGTTCATTTTACTAATATTTTATACATATTTACATATTTTATCGCTTTTATATAGACATAGAAAATAACAGTTTAGTTTAGGGCTGCACGATAAATCGCATGCGATATTTATTGCGCATCTTGTCAGTAAAGCCAGTTCTGTAATCAGCTGTAAATCTCCATCACGTGCGTGTTTTCACATGGAGCAGCATTTACTACACAGAGCCGTTGTTCACTGACAAGCTGCGCAAAATATGATCGTGGATATTTATCAGTATTATCATAAAAGAACAAATAAGTTTCATGTGTACAACTGCAGATCATGCGTAATAATGGGAACGTTACTCATAGGAGTCAGTTTCAGCAGTAATGTAATTGTAGTGGTTTTACAGTATTTTTAATCACAGTTATCATAATTTGATCTAAATCTAGTCTTTACGTATTTTTTCTTTACTTTTTTATCAGCAAAAGTAGCATTTACAAGATTAAAACATTCTCAAACTCTAACGTACTCTAACTTAATTTTTTTAAATCTTAAAATATTTATTTACAATTATTAAATATTAATTTATATATAAATATATATTTTTTGCTTTGATATGATACGCTTAGTTGAAAACACTATACAGATAAAAGTAAATTGAGTATAGTAGTATTGCTGCATCATGATTAGTTGCATTGTACAAATTGCTGTTGGATTATTAGCACACTAAAACACAACATGCTGTTTGCACTGTAAAATCCTGTCTAAGTTGTGTTCATGGCTTTTAATGTACTTCAACTTCATCTTCTTTATAGCACTGCTGCTAAAAATATAAAAGCTTGATGAAACAAACTAGTCAACCAGCATAATAGAAACAGTCCACTAGTTAAATGCATTGCTAATAGCGTTTCCTGCCAAATACAGGTAGCTCCTCTCTTCTAATCTGTACTCATTTCAGGTAGTTTGGTTGTCTCATATGGAGATGAGAAGGTGTGAATCTCATTAGCTTGTCAGTCTTGTCTTTTACTTCTCGTCTCGTGGGCCTGATCTCTGCGGTGTTGTCAGGTGTCTCTGTGTGCGCCGCACAGATCGGCGGTGGTCCCGCGGCTGTTTGGCGTACGCTAAATTAGCCCCCCTAGTCGGGAGACGGCAGATTGGGTTGCCTCTCTGTCCCTTCTCAGCACAAGTTGTCTACAAATAAAACTCCAGACTTCGAAATCCCCTGTTTTTCATCCTCGCGTCCCCCCTAATAAAGGGCTATTTCCTGTTAGCCGAGTGAAGAGGGAATACGCGAGAGTGCAGCGTCTATCCGAGACCGAGCCGGCAGGAAGGGGCTTTTCCCCCGCAATGGCTTTTCCATGTGCTCTTCGAGATGAATGAAGACACATTGTGGAATTAAGGGGAAAAGGGGCTCTGGCTCCCGGCCGCAACTTCAGCTTCCTGACGCCAAGCAGCTACCGCTCTCAAACACTGAGACCCTGCACAGTAGCCTAGAAAGCTGTGTGTGTTTTTAGTGTGCAACAGGAGGTAAAGCAGGTACTTTGATAGGAAATTAGTGATAAAACATCCATCCGTCCGTCCGTCGTTCTATTAAACTAAAATTAGTTTTGTGAATATCTTTGTTTTACTTCTACTTAAAATTTAATTTCAAATTACAGTTCTTCATGCAGTTTGCAACTTTTTGAATTGGAATTGAAGTCATTCTTAGTTAAATTCTGAATGACACACAACCCTTGTTTTAAAGGGGTCATATGATGCTGCTAAAAAGAACATTATTTTGTGCATTTGGTGTAATGAAATGTGTTTATGCGGTTTAAAGTTTAAAAAAACACATTATTTTCCACGCAAATCTTCCCACATCGTGAGGTAGATATGTGGGGGCGTGTTAGAATGAGCCGTTTTAGGTAGGCGTGGTTAACTCTTAACTTTTATAAAGAATATCTCTTTGGTTTTGAGACTTTAGTGTTTGCAACTTTACAGATCTTCTTTATGCACCAAGAGCTTGTAAC